CCATCACAACAGAGTCTTCAGTGCCTGGTTGACAGAGCTCACTGCAGGCTGGGAGAGTGCTATAGGTAGGCCAAGAAATGGCAAGGGGCCACTAGCTCTTGTAGAAAAAGAACTTTTGAACCTGCTTCTTATACTTAAAATGGAAAAAATATATATATTTTTTTAAGATTTTATTTTTTTGACAGACAGAGAGAGACAGTGAGAGAGGGAACACAGCAGTGGGAGTGGGAGAGGGAGAAGCAGGCCTCCCACTGAGCAGGGAGCCCGATGTGGGGCTTGATCCCAGGACCCTGGGATCATGACCCGAGCCGAAGGCAGATGCTTAACGACTGAGCCACCCAGGCGCCCCAAAATGGAAAATATATTTGACAGGAATTATGTAGCTTTCTCTGGAAACATCCTGAATTCCTAATCATTATTTTGACCTGTGAGATTTTAGCGTAGCTTCTGCCTCCAGAGCACGATCTAGAGTGGCCATACTACGCAGCATCTTCTCCAGCTGGGCTGCTCAAATTCTGTGTGTTTTGTCAGTGCCACGATGTGAGAAGGGTCGAGAACTTTCCCATTATATTTTATATCTAATTTTTTATAACAACCTTAAAATATATCAATGTTGGTGACCTCTACTTTCCAGCCCAGCAACCCTTTGACGATCTTTCATGTTTCTTAGAAAGTTTGACTGAGGGTCATCTTAGAGCCAGCCTGCATTCCGAAGGCAAAGGAAAGATGCTCAGTGAGGCATGACTGTGAGAAGAAAGAGAGCATCCCCTCATGGGCATCAGCCTCACAGTGAATACTCAGGCTCCATTAGGAAACTAGCAACTTGACACCCTTTCGACCATGATGGAGTCCCTCCTGGTGAATGTTTGAAGTTGCTTGGAAACTTTGAAATACTTGTATTGTTTCTCAAAGTCTTTCTTTCCTTACTTCACATCCACTTTTTAAAGGCTTCTATATCTTTTTTTATAACATTTTATTTGTTTATTTGACAGAGAGAGAGAAAGAGGGGGGCGGTTAAGGACATGAGCAGGGGTTAGGGGCAAAGGGAGAGGGAGAAGCAGACTCCCCACTGAGCAGGGAGCATGATGTGGGGCTCAATCTCAGGACCCTGGGATCATGATCTGGGCCAAAGCCAGATGCTTAATCAACTGAGCCATGCAGGTGTCCTCTATATCCTCTTTTTTTTAATCTTAAGAATAAGATGTGTGTAAGGCTGGCATAAAGGATGTACTCAATAAATATGTGAGGAAAGAATTATTGTAGCTAAAGTTTATAAAGTTGTATGGCAAAATAAGAAGTGATCATGTTCATTATCAGCTTTAACTGAATGTTACAGAGGACTTTCCTTAAGAGAAAAAAATAATAGATGGGTTCATTCAGCAAAACAAACCAACAAATATTTGCTAAATGGTTACCTTAAAAAAAATAGATTCACTGACACTAAATTCACCAGGTACCATCAATGCATTACCATTGAAATAGTATGATGAGATACATAGAATATTTGCTTAATAATCCACCAAACAACCAAAACAACCAAAAAGTAGAATGTCTCAATCACTGCTTTATTCTTTTATCCAAGGATAATGCAACCTACATGGAAATTACTATAGCATTTGGAAAATCGGCAGACTCTAGCTAGAAACGCACAACCGTAAATTAGATGAACTTCCACACTTTGTACTACTAGGCACTCTTGTGGGATTTCGATTATACACAGAGTAATTGATTTCTTTGAAGAGTTATTTAGTTGAAGATTTCATCTCTGCTCTTATATTTAAGTTTCTCCTCTACTTCTTTATTTTGGGGGGGGAGCAGAAATGAGAAGGCACAGAGTGCCATGTCATGTGAATATGAACTCAGTATTAACCCAAAGTGACTTAAACAATGTGTTCATAAAAATAGGCCTTTGTTACTCTTCATACTCTGAACAAGCATTTACACACACACAAAAGACAAACACTTCAATGCCTTACAAACTACCTATGTGAGTTTCCAGGAGTGTCCAACAAAACAATACCATAGGAATTATTCTAGCCTGGATTTCTGCCCTTATAACACACAAACACACAACCAATTTATGCCACCTGCCAAATGGCCAGTCTGATGCCTGTCAGTGACCATCTGGGAATACTCTACTTCTTTGTAAGTGCACATTCCTACCGCCTACCCATCCCCCCATCTCTTCTGTATTGTCAGAGATGATGCTAAACTGTCCCTTAAGACGTCACACCTCCAGCACTGCTCAGCGACCAAAGCTGCATGCCTTGTGAAGCCTCACGACTTTTTCTTTGATTGCAGTGCCCAGAACACCTCTCAAGTCTCAGCCCCCTTGCAGCTGGGCATGGCCATGGGACTGTCCTGATCAATGGACTATGAGAAGAAGGGAGTGTCATTTTTGGTATCTTCCAGGGTAAGGAGAAAGCAGCGTATTCCAGATGGCACAGCTACATGGTGGGGGGCCTCCGTTATCATGGGTTTTCAGTGTGTGGAGCAGAGCCCCCTGCCAACTTGAGGGGGACAAGTAACAAGAGCCAGAAATGAAGGTCCTTGCTGTGTTAAACCACTGAGCTTTGGCATCACTTGCTTCTACAGCATTCTGATGGATCTAATGACTTGAGCCGCCATTGCTTCTGAGCCATCTGGACCAGCTATTCCCCTATAAACATTCAGCCCATTTTCCAGCAAGCCCTACTTTCCGACCCTGGGGAAGATCACACACATAAATTTAGCTGCACAGACCCAGAACTCCTCCAGGAGGTGACTTCCACCTCCTGAAACACCCTTTCTTCTGGCCCACGTCCGCACACTTTCGTTGATCTTCCCAATCACATTCCTGGGCATTCGGGGAAGATAACCACTGGTGATTCTTGTGCAGCCAAGACGTGCTTCCAGCATCCTCCTCCCAGGAAGCTCATGTCCAGTCACCAGCTAGCTCCCTCAGGCTACTCTCCTGGTTTAGCTGGCCTCCTGGCTCCTCTCCAGTCCACTCAAAGAATTCAATTCACAGCTTGTTTTTTTCTAAAAAGCAGACCAAGAATCACCTCCGGACTTTAGTTAGAGATGCTACTTTCTCGCCTCTTCATAAGAGAACACTCGTATTTCTGCATTCTCTCTCTCCTTTACCATAGAAGGAATCAGCCATTTTGGACTGAGAGCCTGAAGCCGAAATCAGAAATGTAGCCCCATGGTCACAGGGATGATCTCATGTATTGCACCCTCCATCCCAGCTCAGGCAATTCCCGTGCAGATGCTCCAACTGAAACCCCGCCGTGTTCCACTTCTCATTTCCAGGGTTTCCCTGCCTTTCAGTTAAGCCTGTTCCCTCCTATTATTTTTAGATTTGATTTTACTCCTTACATAGGGCCAGGGGTGGGAAGGGGAGACATTTTTTTTTTTCTTTTTAATTAAAAGCAGATGACAAAGACAACTCAGTCATGGAAAATAATAGGAGTCACACTGTCTCTCTGGCTCCCATTCGTGCATTTCCGCCATCAGCCTCGACTGAACAGAGCTGTGGCAATGCTAATCGAGTCTCCCCTGCCTCTTCTGGCAGATACACATTATCTAAGCAGATGTCTACTGGGATTCCATTAGAGAGCTGCTTATGCTTTTCTTCCTTTCCACTGCGGCTCACAGAATGATGGCGTTTTGGAACTGGAAGGGAGCTCTGTGACTACCTCCATATTCCCCAGGAGGAGCCCAGGGCCAAGGGAGGTTAAGGGAGGTGACTGAGAAGGTCCAGCCTTGCCAGGTCTCTCCATCCCCACCTTCCAAACACTGAGCCTGTCTGTTGAATCCATGTTTCTCAGCCACCCTCATAGTCCAAATAGACTGAGAGCTCCTGCAGGTGTGACCCCCACCTTACATATTCTGTTCCTGGCTTCTCGGGAAGCTGTACAGGCAGATCGATGTTCATGGCGAGGCACTAGGTTTTCACACGTTCTTCCATGCACTCTTGTTGTTTACCTCTTTTCCAGTGACTGGTTTTTTTCTGTTTCTCAACCAAATGTAGCCTTGTGCATATTCTATGAGCTTGGACATTTGTTTGCTTACCTGTTTGCTAACTCAAAGACAGTTTAATTCCAGATTTTCTTGTAAGACTTCATTTAGATCCAGTCTCAAAGTCACATTATTCAATGTGTTTACAGTTAAAATGTTCTATTACCATATACAATAATTCCGAAGTCCTGGTCTCTGTGCTCAGGTAACTTACACGGGAACAGAATGTAGCACTTGTTCAGGTCATAGCAGAGAATTTAGTTTTGCCTTGTCAAACTCTTGCCTCTCTTCCTTATTTCCCAAAGAAGGCCACGGAGTGGGAGTGACCAGATGAAATCACTTATAGGTTATCCACAAGACTAAGCCTTGGAAGGCCTGATAAGGACAACTTCTGACCATGTCATATGGCAGACAGAAAAGGCATGTGTTCTAGAATCTAGGAAAAGTAGAACTCTTGATTGTAAATGACAGAGACCCAAGCCAGCTTGAGCAAAGAGCAAACTTATTTGAAGGCCCACATCCCCATCAGGGAAGAGCAGGAATGCTACTGGACATCAGAGGCAGCTAGGACTAGGGACTCGCAACCCCCAGCATGCTCTTTCCTCTACATCTCCCTCTGAGGCAGCATGATTTCTCCCACACTGGTGTTGTCCCTGTCGGGAAACCCTGAACTCTTCCTCAACCCCAGCTCAACCATTAGGGAGAGATTAGCCCCCTCTCCCCACTTCCAGTTGCAAAACGCCCAAGGAATGATTCAGTTGCTCTGACAAGGGCGAGGTGCTTACTCCCATCCCTGGATACTGGGGGCTTTTCTCAGAAGACCGGACATCACAGAGGGCTCTTCCGTCACCCTAATTCACATTTAGCATGACATGGGGCAATGGGCAAGTTTCTTAACGTCTCTGAGCCTTGGTTTCTTTGTTATAAAATGAAAAGTTCAGGGAGGAGGCAAAAATAATGCCTTGTTCAAAGAGCTGTTGATTTTACATAGACAAGCGATGTTAATGGCTGGCGCAGTGCCTGGTATATACGAAGCACCAATAAATGTTCGTTTTTCTTTCAAGGTGAGTCTTAAAGTCAAGGAAGAAGTGAGCACATTAAAATGGAGAGGAAAATGTTTTGGAGCATAGGGAACCAAATGAGAAATGCTATACAATCCAAAGTAAGAGGCACTATAGGAGTTGTTAGACGGAGGGTAATTGAGCCTTAAATCATTCCCACCCATAAATCACCCACAAGACCCGTGTTCTAGAAAAAGGAGGGGGGACAGCATTAGCTATTGGGAACCTGGAATGTCAAGTTGACCAATTAATCTGTAGCTTGTGAGACAGTCTTTGCTATCGAGGGAAAGATCATTTCAGTCAAGTAACATTTTAGGACCAACATAAAAAGAATTGTAAAAGATTTGGATTTTGATGAACTCTGAGGAACAAGAGCTGCATTTGCTCATATTCCCTTTATAACTTTTTGGAGTCAGGCCAATGAACATACCCAGCTGTGCAGTAGGATAACTTGAATTTACTACTAGTTCTACAAAAATATTCCCTATGTTGTCTTCCCTCATACCCTTCATCCTTAAGTTTTATGAGAGGAAAAAAGACTTCATATTACACATTTCTTCAGTAAGATTACCACACCAATGCAGCACTGAAATCAATAGATTGTAAAATTTCCAGTTTTCCCAAGGCTTTCCCAAAGAGTTTAATACATCTAAGATTTGGTGTTTTTTGCATTTGAATCAATTTGACTCACACAAACATCTGTTCTTGATAAAATAGTATGAAACTTAAATGTTTCCATGGTGGCACAGAATCAAACTCCACTCCTTCTCCTTGTCCTCATCCCTTTCTTCCATAGTCCCCACGTCATCTGCTCCCCCAGTTTGTAAATGACCGTGATGTCTTGATGACTCCCTAGAGTTCACCTGCCCCCAGTTTCCATTTCCCCAGACACACGTGGGTGACTAAAGGCAGCGGCCACACCTCCTCATCACCTATGGTTTGTGGCGTCTTGTACAGTCGAGTTTTAACACCTGCCAGGTTCATTCCACCCCCTTGAGCTTTGACTCAGCCCAGATCCTGGCTCTAAGATCCACTCCCTCCACGAAGGCTTCTCAACTCTTCCAGCCCATGGGTGCACTCTCCTCTAAGCTCTTACTTACAGTCTCAGTACTTGGCTCAGTACTTTAAGCAAAGGCTGCCTGGGGCTGCAATTTAATGTTTACAAGCCTATGTCTGGGACCTTGCTGTATACTTTTTCTCTGGTACCAAGCACAACGCTGATACATAGAAGAGGCTCCGTAGATCTGTGTATGAATGAATAAATGAGTGAGTGAGTTGACAGAATGCTTTTCTACATGGCTTGACAGTTTTAGTCTTTGGGAATCAAGGTTTATGCCAGACTTAAGTCTAAAGACAGCAGATTTTGGCTCAACCCTGTCAGTTACTCTTATCACAAATTACCTCATGCATCTGGGAGACACTAAGATTAGCATTCGGAGATAGAATGAAACAGGATGCCATTAGGGATGGCATGGAGTTGTGATCAAGCACAGAGGTGGGGCTGGGGACTGGAGATGGGCACTCATCCTGAATCTTGGTTCAGGAACCGAGTAACCTGCACTCCGTCCTGGCCAATCACTGAAAAGCAGGATCTGTGATATCGGGCAAGTCATTAAATCCTCCTGAGCCCAAGAAAGTTCATAGACATCTACCAATGTGTATACAGAGTGCCCTTTCATTAGCGGAACAAATTATTGCAGGGCTCAAGAAGCATCCATTTGAAGGAGAGCAGGCCCAGCAAAGAGCTTTCTTCATTTGTTCGCTACTTCAGAAGAAATGTTCAGGAGCACGGATGTTTAGGAAACTATCCTCTATGGGATAAAATGACTAGAAGCTGCTTCCCAGAAGTCACTGGACAATTGGAAATACACTCTCATCCTCTTGAATGTTCCTCAAGACTCAGCAAGAAGTAGGTAGGTCAGAACAGAAAGGATGAAGGCCCCTTGACCCTTTCTGAACACAGCTGAGCACTACTAGCATTTTAATTAACATTGACCCCCTAGTGGCTTGGTAAAGAGCAGGCCTGGGTCCCTGGGTACTGAATGATGGTGACAATGATGGTGAGGAAGGGGAGACAGGGAGGAAAGGAGGAAGGGGAGGAGGAGAAGGAGAACTAACCTCCTCGAGAGGTCCCCATATGCCAAGCTCAGGGCCCCAGTCATTTCTTTCCCTAACCTCACACAGCACCTCTTAGCTGCAGTGGGCAGCCTGAGGCCAAGGGCAGGCTAGGAACTTGCCTGCAGTCACATCATTGAGTGGCAGAGGCACTCACCAGTCAAAAGCACAGGCTGTGAGGGATCAGGGATGTCAGGGGACAGAAAAGAGGCTCTGAGAGGGCAGATGGAGGATGCTTGAGGCTTGCTAGGGCCACACCTGCAGCACGTAAGGCTCCTCAAACATCCAGCTCACCATCTGGTCGAATCCAGGTGTGACATTCTGCATCCCTGGGAAGCGTGGGGGCAAGGAGCATGTTCCGGTAGGGCCCAGAGCAGCTGTGAGGAGGGTGAGAGGGCAGCATAGGAGTATGGGGCGGGGGCGGTCTACCAATGGGCATAGAAGGGTTTCCACATTCACACAACCAATCACACATCAGTGTGCACCAGCAAAAGATGAGTCCTACTTTGACCCTGTGCTGATACAGAACATAAGGTTTTTTGTAGTGTAGGAGATTAAAAATTTTTAAAAGCCTTTGGCATCCTCTTTAACCCATCTTTTAAAAAAAATACTTTATTTATTTAAAAGAGAGAGAGTGAGCACAAGCAGGGGGAGTGGCAGACAGAGGGAGAGGGAGAAGCAGGCTTCCCGCTGAGCAGGGAGCCCGATGCGGGGCTCAATCCCAGGACCCCGGGATCATGACCTGAGCCGAAGGCAGACGCTTAACCGACGAAGCCACCCAGGCGCCCATCTTTAATGAGGTCCCAGATGTCTCAACTGGGCCACAAGCCCAAGCACATCTAACTGCATCTGTGAGGACATGGAGCCCCCCCTCCCTCCACCAGAAGGCCATCCTGGGAGCTCCGTTTAGCAGCTGAGGCAAATAATTGTTGCACACGAACCTGGTGGTTAGAGTGGTAAGGAAAGAGGAGAAGAGATTCCTAAAACAACGCCCAGATTTAGCTCAACTTTCACATTTGTACTGGGAAAAATACACCCAAAATATAACCAATGGGAGTAGCTCATTCCTTCAATGTTCCAAGTTTTCAGGCTGCTAGGCAAGAGCTTCACAGTTTGGGCAACTTTGAAGAAAATGTCCTCCCCCAGTGAGGGAGGGAGAGGGGGAGGAATGAGGGAGGGGAAGGGAGGAAGGGGAAGAGAGGAAAGAGGAGGAGGAAGGAGGAAGGAGGGAGGAGGAGGGAGGAGGAGGTCCACAGAAAGATCTGGAGGATTGCAACAGAGCTGGGAGTCTCAAGAGAACACAGTGAAAACAAATCACAACTTTGCTGCTTCAGAGATGTCAACCAAATTATGGAATAAAAATTTGTTGAGAAGAACACGACTGATACGTGTATATAGTTTATGCACTACCCCGGCTCAGACGTAAGGAAATCGGATCCCAAAAAGAGGGGGCATCCATCACCCGTCCCTATGCCAGGCAAAAGGGTAAGGGAGCCTGGTTCGAATTCCAAGCCAAACATCAAACCCTTAGACTATAGTGACAGGGTAACAGTGAAAACTGAGCTATTTGTATGCAAAATTCATCTAAAAGTTAGAAGTTAGCACTGCAAAGATCCCGGCTATGGGCACAGCATTCACAGTAGTAACACTTAGGGAGTGCTTCCCATGGGCGGGCCCCTGTCCTCTTGCTAGTGGGTGGAACCCACACTGCAACCCCAAGTGCAGGGTGCCACAGAGGAGGAGCTAAGGGGACCACACCAGTACGTGCAAGAGCCAAGGTTTGATTCCAGGCAGCCTGACTCCGGGACCCATTGTTTCTTTATATTTATGTCCGCTTTGCTTATATCAAGCACTAGCATTTACTGGGCCCTTAGTATGTTCCAGGCACTGTCCTACGCGGTGTACAGGTATTAACTCATTTAATTCTCATTGTTATGTGATAGTCTCCTCATCCTTTGTTTGCTGGTTTATTTGCTTTTGAAATAAAAAACCCGAGGCACAGAGAAGAGATCTAAATTTGCCCCAGATCTCAGAGTATGTGGTAGAGCCAGGGTTCAGAATTATGTAGCCCGGTTCTGGGACTCCTGCTCCTGGTGGGCCCATAACTGCCTAAGAAACACACACATCAGAGTTGAGGGAAAGCATTCACTGAGATCTTAAAAGCATTAAAGAACCCCGCTGCCTGAAATCTGATCAAGGTCATGGGTGGGGAAAATTTCCATCTGGCTGCCCACACGAGGGACAGAAGAATCATGGGAACAGATGAAAAACATACCCGTTGGTGTTTTTGCCTCATGAGCTAGGGCCCAGTTTAACAAACATGGCTTTGCCCTTTGTGCCACCCTCTTGGCACAGGTGGGATGGTTCTCCACCCAGGTCAGGCCCCCCACCCCCCGAACTCTGTTTTCTCAAAAAGATAGCCCTATCTATGTAATTTCCCAAGTATGCTTATCCTCCCCAACTAGCCCCACACGTAACTGGCACTCTAGCCTTCATCAGTGAACCCAAGGTCAGCCTAACTGCCAGCCTACTCCAACCCAGAACCCCACTGGAGGGAGTCACATTGGTGGGAAGATATACTTACACTGGGTTCGATTCTTGCATTTGGACAGACCACCAGAAAGTCAAATACCCAGGCTATGTCATCCTCCTCCCTTGCAGAATTTCTTCCCTTGAGTTGCATTTAGATATTTTGCTGTTGACATTTAGTAAAAATCTTTTGTGAAGCAGTTAAATGAAACTCTCACCAAAGGCAAGAATATGATGATATTGTCCAGTGTATCACCCAGCACCCATAGGAAACACCCCATAAAAAAACTTCCCTTTTTTTTTTTTAAGCTCAAAAAAATTTTACTTATCGCAGTGCGCCCAGCGGTCCTGTAGATCTGTCTCTTGCTTCAGCAGCGTTTGGACAGAACAGACCCAGGGATGCCCCTTCTACCAGCCAACCACCACCCTCCAACCTTTTTTCCAGTCGCAACCTTGGGAGCCATCTTCTTGGCCACCCGCTGCCTCCGGGACCAGCCAACACCCAATTTTGAGCTTAGCTCCTCATCACCAATCAACCGCGAACTCCCAGATTTGCCAGAACTATTCCACGGAGGGGGACGGCGCTGTCAACCGCTTGGTCAACATGCATCTGCGGGCCTCCTACACCTACCTCTCTCTGGGCTTCTATTTCGACCGTGACGATGTGGCTCTGGAAGGTGTGGGCCACTTCTTCCTTGAGCCGGCTGAGGAGAAGCTCGAGGGTGCCCAGTGTCTCTTGAAGATGCAAAACGAGTGCGGCGGCCGCGCCCTCTTCCAGGATGTGCAGAAGCTGTCCCAAAATGAGGGGGGGAATCCCTCGTCCCAAGATGAGGGGGCTCTTCTCCAGAACCAGGGAGCTGGAAGCCACCAGGGTCCCCGAGAAGAACCTGTCCCTGCGCTCTGGGGCTGCATGCCTGGGTTCTGCCAGCGCAGACCCCCAGCTCCCTGACTTCCCGGAGAGCCACTTCCTGAAGGAGGAGGTGAAACTCAACAAGAAGATGGGCAACCGCCTGACTCAGCTGCCCAGGTTGGGCTGGGCGAGTAGCTCTTCGAAAGGCTCACCCTCAAGCGCCACTAGGAGCCTCCAGAGCCCGGCGGCCTTTGGAGGGGCTCTCCTGGGACCCCCCTGGTGCCAAGGCTTGTACCTGAGTCTCTTCCTACAGCCACGAGGCAGCTTTTCAACCACCCCGGAGCCCTCTCCCAAGCCGTGGACCAAATGAAAACAAAGCTTTTTGCAGGGGGGAAAAAAAAAGTTTTACCTATCTTGAGGAAATAGTATGCTTTGTCATTTCTGAGCATGAAAATTATGTCCTAATAGTCCATCTCTTTTTCTATCTCCCTCTCACTTTTTAAAGCTTCTAGGAAGCTCAGAGTCAAACTTGAAATTGAAGGTATGGGCCTTTTTAGTCTATAGGAGGGACTGCAAAACTTTTGTAATCTCACCATCTCCTTGGGGGAAAATTTTAAGGACAACTCCCTGGTAGATGTCTATTTATTTCCTTATTTATAAATTATATGCATGTACCTGATTATATATTATTACCTGATTTTTCAAAAATGTTTTACATTACCTGATATTTTAAAGCACAATACACACAGAGGCCAAAGTTCATTGTTAATGCCTAAGGATATAAATCTATATTTCAAAGTGCCTTCTAATGATTTCAAAATTGTTTTAGCCTCTTCTTTCAGACCTAACTAGATTGGACTGTCATTATATTTATGCTTAATGAGGCTGACAAAGAGCGTGGCCAGGCAGCATGAGAAGCATCAGCTTGGCCATTTTCTTCTTGGCTTGAAGATGATACCAGTCGGGCAGCCCAACCCAGCAGTTTCTTTGCAGGAATATTTTTTAAGTTACTCTCCTCCTTTGCTGAGGACGTACTTAAACACAGGTAACAGAAACCAGAATCCACATGACTGGATGCACATGCGCCGCACGATGCCACAGCCTTCTAGAAGCAACCCAGTCAGCGAGGAGGCTCTGCAGCCTCTGGGTGTGGGACATGTGCCCAGAGCGTGCCTCAGGACACCTTCCGGAAGTGCCGAGGGCAGGCCGAGGGCCGCACGTGACATGCGCACGCTAGATATTACTAAATCATAATGCCTCTCATCTTAAGATGAAAAATGTCTCTAACTGAACATTCTAATGTGTGTTCTTCCAGTCCCGCAATTGATCTGATGCACACCCCTCTGGAACCGGGTCCATCTCTCCCCTCCATCCCATTTTACCTTATCCTGGTCCTGACCTCCTACTCATGTGTTTTCCCCACAGTCACTCTATTTTTATTTCTACTAACCATTATTTCTGGCCTGGGTCCTCCTTAAGTCCTTTATGGAACTTGCATGTACATTCCTACATGTCGTGAACAGGATGGCTTATAAGAAACTGTACAAGAATGCTCTTTCTCAATGTCCATACTACTACTTTAGCTAATCATACATTTGGGGATCTGTAGATATGGGAATAACCTTTGGATTATTCCATATACCTATGTCTCTAAATATTTCAAGGTCATGGTCAGCTGACATTGACTAGCAACTGAAATGGAAATACTTAGACTTTGACAAGACATTAAGTATCTACCAAATCAGAATTAGCTTTAATGACAGAAACCCTCAGGAAAGAATGACTTTATTTTTTTAAAAAGATTTCATTTATTTGAGAAAGAGAGAGAGTACAAGCAGGGGGAGGGGCAGAGGCAGAAGCAGATCCCCTGCCCCCCGCGGAGCAGGGAGCCCGATGCGGGACTCGATCCCAGGACCCTGGGATCATGACCTGAGCCAAAGGCAGACAGCTTACCTGACTGAGCCAGCCAGGCGCCCCAGAAAACAGTGACTTTAAACACCAAGCTTGATTCTTTCATGAAAAAGAAGTGTTGAGGGAGGTTTTCTAGGGTTAGTCTGGCAGCTTCACGAAATTCTCTGGGACTCAGCCACCTTCAGTCACTCCCAGGAGTGGTCTTCGTGTCTGTGATCTGCAGCAGTGGCCGGAGCTCCAGGCTGTTCTCCAGGCCAACAACCCAGACTGGTGCGGAGGGGTGACATCCCTTAGGCGCACAGAGCACAGGGCTCCACACCACTCCCCCTCGCACCGCCTCGCCCAGGTAGAGTGAATGGGTATCGTAGGCATTAAAAGTCTGGGAGAATGGAGACTGGGAGAACAATAAGCAGCCTCTGCCACATCCGCTTGAAAATCTGTGATTTTAGCAAAGCAGGATTTGGTATTAGAATTGCATTCTGGAGAATTCTCATTCTAGACCATCAACTTGTAACTAATTCTGATCTTTTTTTTTTTTCCATTCAAAGACCCATTATCAATTACCACTCAGAGGTAGTTAAAGTAAGAATTATCCCAGGAATACATTGTCCTTTGTAGAAGCCCTGGAAAATATCTCTGTGAATGCATAGTTAATACAGTCCGACCGAAAGGCAAACATTTTCTGCCTAATAGAAACCACAATAGGGATCTTCCTAAGACACGGTTGTACATCAGGTTTTGCAAACCTGATCCTCCTTCAAATGCATTTGGGAAGTTAACTATTTAATGCAACTTGCAGTGAATTTGGATGGGGGAGACTTCCATCTTATAATGTGAATAATCTGCCTCCGGATTTGAAAGGTTCACTTATCAGACTTTCCTGAGTTAACGCAAGCTCACTGGTGATGGTGGCAGATTAAAACAGGCCTCTGAAACAACCCCCACATGCAAATGTCATCACGGGCGTCGGCTCCTTCTGGAAGTCTCAGCCACCACCTTGTGACTCAGAGAGAGACGCTGGTCACTGGGATTTCGCTGCTTTTCCATGGAACTGACTTCAACAGCCAGAGATACGGGCAGATGCTGAGTGAGTCTTCTGTTGCTGAACACGAGTCAGAGACAGAATTCATTATGCAACAACACACATTTCTCATCTTTCAGATGCCAAATGTTCAAAGTATAAAAATACCTCCATGGGTCACTCACCAGAGAAACACAGGCAGTGTTCCATTTATGAGCTCACACTGTGTCAGTGACATCACACTTGACCAGGAGGGCCCATGGGCTTTCTAACGAATCAACGAGAAACCCTGAAATAGATAGGTTCTCCTTTCCTGGGCCTCACTGCCCCCATCGAACCTGGGGTGCTTGCTTGCTTGAGTGTACAGAAGAAGTCCAGGAATCTCGATAGTTCCGTTGAGCTGAAGGGTAAAATATTCTGGGGACGGGGGTTGAATTTAACTGTGGCTTATGAGTAATGAAATTGTCACAGCAAAAGGTGTGGTTTCCAGAAAGCTGTGACACCGCATGAACCCATTCACTCATGCACCAACATTACCTCCAAATGCATGATGGCGGCGGGGAGGGGGGGGGGAGAGGAAATCTCTTCCTCTGTTTTATGTTTTTGCCCCTCTCTGAATTTTAAGTGAAAAGGGAAAAATATAAAATCAGGAGCCTGCCTATCCCCTGAGACCTTTAAATTTAAGCTGGACCAAGCACTACCCGTGTATCACAGGCAACAATTTCACCCTGGCAGGGAAGTGGACTAAGTGACTTAATGGGTATTTTCCATCTCTAATTTCCATGATTAAAAGAAAGAGGTTGAGAGGGGTACATGTGGAGCCTATTGTGAGTTTGCCAATGAATCCTAATTTAGATCAAAGAGAGTCTATGTGACACTGAACCATAAACACCCTAGTGTGCGTTACTTCAAGGAAGTTGTTAGTGTGTCCCCGATGGCTATTATGTGATATAGTTGCACTCTAGAGCCTGCACCCTTTAATTACTAATATAGAAGAAAATCCCATATGAGCAGGAGGAATGTAAATGAGACCTCTGCTCTTTTGAACATTTTATGCATTTGCCAAATTAAAATTTGCTGTGGACTTGGGTTTTCCCTGATGGCTGTTGGTAGTGATCATTTGGCTCATGGGATTAAATCCGAATTTCCAAAAACTATTTCTGATCAGTGTGCACATTTCAGATCTTTATGTATGCTTTGCACTGAGACATGGATCATCAGAACCAGATTGGGAACAATTTCTTTGAAGTTTTCAAAGGTAGGGAAGAAATCCTCTTTCGTTCTCATCTTTCCTCAAGCCAAGCGTTGCTCAGCACAGGTGGAGGGGTATAACTGAGAGAGGGGCCTGTGGAAGCCAGAGTCTCAGGATCACCCCACACTCGTGCACTACCCCCAACATGGGCCCGTAGCTCCTGTGTAGAGAGGATCATGCTCTAGGGACACAGTCTGATCATTGCCACGACCACCCTTGCTGACGTGGGGTTTGCTCACACCAAGATTTCAAGATGAATACGACCACAAATGTGAACTTGAGCAGCACGATTTTAATGGCATTTCCTTCTCTAGGATTCTTCTACCCTTAGCCTCTCTGCCCAAAAAGAGGATTGATGACAACTTTGCACTTAAATTAAGAGCTGAGTGTAGGCCCCGGCCTTGTACAAAAGCAAAGATGCTCATTAGGCAGAATGACCACTGGAGATATTAACCATTCAGGAGATTTGCCATGCCCAACACTGCATCTTGTTCACAAAGCAAACTCCTTCTTTGCCATCTGTCTCATGCTACAAAGAGATAATAATAATAAAATCATTGCTTAATGGGTAAACTAAGTAGAGGATAATTCTCTGGTAGATCATATCGGCGTTCTTCTCCGAAGGATGCCATATTCTCAATGAGGCAGAGAACACAGGGGAGAGTGCGTGATCCTGCACAAACGGGATGCCTAAAATCAAAAACCAATGCAGCATATGTCAGTATTTAAAGCCCCATCAAAGAAACATCCAACTTTTCAGCTGTAACCCAAATACAAATTTTCCTTACCCTGTCAATTAGCAGATTACAAAACTCCTGTAGCAGGAAGACCTTTCTGCCAGCAAAGCCGTAGTGTTTGGAATGGGTCCAGGTCAGACAGATGGCGTGGAAAAGGGGTGAAATGAGACGTTCCCGATCGGCAGAGTCAACTGTTCTTCCATGCGACAAACGTAACCTTTGGAGGGCGGAGCGGCAAGGTGAAGAGCTTCTCCCACACAGCTGGAGAAGCATACATGTGGCTGGAACCACCCAAGTAGTCAGTGAC